GGCAGGCCTGTTGGGTGGAAGGAACAGTAGGGAACCATGTGGCTGGGCCACCAGTGGGGAGAGTAGCAGGAGTGGAATTCAGGATGGCAATGGGGCTGTGGTGAGGACATGGCTGTCTCTCTGGATGAGATGGCCACTATAAGAGGATTCTGAGTAAGAAAGAAGGAAGATCTGACCAAAAAAGAATACTGTGTCTTTTGTGTTAGAGCCAGGCTCCAGAGAACAGGGTGGGACGGGGTAACCAGTTAAAAGGCTGCCGCAGTATTCCAAGTGAGAGAAGACCAGGGATCAGACCGGGCTATGGGAGGAGGTCTGAGAAGTTGGATGAGAACCATGTGGGCCGTCCTGAAACCAAATCATTATCAGTGACCGCACCTGTTTTCTTTCAGTCTGCTCTGACTGGTTCTTCCTAAGTGGCACTTCCTTTGAGTTCTTTAAACCCTATATTTTAAAAAAAGCACGTTAGGAGCTACAGGTTATTGATTCTAACATCTTTTCATTATCCTTCCTGGCTTCACTGGCTTCTTTTTTTTTTTTTTAATTTTAGAAATTAAAGGAGGAAAATACTAACAGATTGACAACATTTTACAAAATAGCATAGAATCAGTACAGACATTACAGAGTTACAAACAGAGTGGTAGGGAATTAACAATGCTTATTGTATTACATATTGATATCTTCAATGTAGTTTCTCTATCTTCAACTATATTGATATCTTCAATGTAGTTTCTCATGAAAACACATATAGACATACAAAGCTAATCTTTATTCAACATAGATTCCCTAATCCTGCCTCAATTCCTTGCGCAGATTCTTAGTTCCTATGTAGTTCCTATGTATCTATTTTTGGGGGCGTTTTTGGCCTCACCTAGGACAACCACGAGTCCCGTTCATTACAGCAACTCTTGACCTACTCCATGCCTGTCCCCAGCCAGCTGAGCGTCACAAGAGAGAACCTCACAAACACGCTTACTGGGATGGAGGAGACCCTGAGGGCTTCCTGCAGTGCTGCTGGATTTCCTGAGTGCATTCACTTTCCTTCCTGTTTCAGACCTACCCTTCACTGAATATCCAGCCCTCTTCTCACATCCACCTTCTAGGCTTCCTACTCCACTGCAAAAATCACAAGAACCAGAGAACACCTTCTCTGCGTTCCCATGGTCACAGCCGCCCACCCTCCTGCATCTGTGCGCCCTTCTCTGCTGTCCCTGAGGTTTCCTTTGTTTCTGAGACAAACTCTTCCATTTTTGTGCTAGATCTTTGCACTCTCCGCTACTTAAGATGTCGCTCTAGCAATGGTTCTCCCTTTTCTCTCAAAATCAAATAAACACGAGGTTGCATTCTCCCTGTTTTAAAAAAAACAAACCAACCTTCTTTGTACCTTAGTCCTTGTCAGCTAACCACTGTTTTACTTGGCTCCCCTAACAGCAATGGTCTGTAAGAGATGCCTGTGCTCATACTCACTGCTTATACCTCATCTCCTCCAACATTTATTTTAAAAAAAAAAACCTTACCACAACTGAACTATATTGTGTGGTACCACTTACTACAATTGAACTATATAGTGTGCACCACTTACTACAATTGAACTATATAGTGTGCACCACTTATTGCAATTGAACTATATAGTGTGCACAATTGCTTCTACTAAGCTTATTAGTGGCTTCCAGGTTGCTAAGCAGAATGACACTTCCTAGTTTTCATTTGAATTGACTTAGCATCAGCATTTGACACAAATGATCCCTCCTTCCATCTTGAGATTTCTTCCTTCACTTCATAGCCAGGACACTTAATCACACTGATTTTGTTCCTTTCTCACTGACCCAATGTCCTCAGTCTTCTTTGCTGATGTTTTTCAGTTCCATGGAACAGTTTTCTTGGTCTAAGCTCATTTTTAGGGCAATTTCATTAAAGTTCACAATTTTAAATATGAGCCGTATACTGTTGTCAGGAAAGCAAAGTATGATAAATTTAAAGATCATACTTGACTCTACTGATATTCTAGAATCAGGAAACACTTCATTCCATGAAGGAGGATAAGTGTTTTGATGAGCTTGGTTGGTCAGAAAGGGGCCGGAGAAAATATAAACAAAGAGCAAAGTGTGAGTTGGTCATTTAAATTTACTCTCTGTGTAAAGCTGGAATTGGCAGTAGAAAAATGACTGATTGCTTGAGATGAAGTTAACTTCAGATTTAGGATTGAAGCAGAGAAAACTATATTTTCATGCCCACTGAAACTGGCCTGTTTGGGAATTTAGCTACTATCTCTCTTCTGATTTCTCAGAAGTTCACACAACTTTATTTTGATTTGAGGTCATGAAACTTTAGTATCAGTGACTCCATGTGGTGTCTTAGCCTGGTCTATTGGTGCCTCCGATAGGTGCCTGGCATATCTCAGGTGGATATTTGATGAAGAGTAGGTCTGAAACATGAAGGAAAGTGAATGGATTGTGTGTCTATAATTTTTGTTTAACATTGATGACCCACAAATGTATAGTTGTATCTCTAGTCTCCCCAGAACATTTGACAAACGTATTCAACAACATGCTCCTTGCATGGCGTTGAAAGCTCTTAGATGTCCAAATCTGAAGTCCTGATTTTCTTGCATTAAGTGTGTGTCTCTTGAATTTTTCCATAGTAAACTACATTTCTAAATGCTTAGCTGTACAGGTTGATAATCTTAGGGTCATCATGTGTTAGTCAAAATTTTATTGCTGTGGCAAAATACCTGAGATGCACTTTGAAAAGAGTAAAGATTTATTTTGACTTATGGTTTCAGAGGTTGCAGTCCATGGTTGCTTGGTTCCATTGCTTTGGGCCTATGGTGAGGCTGAACATCATGCTGGGGAGTGTGTGGTAGAACAGAGCTGCTCTCCTCATGATGGCCTGGAAGTAAAAAAGAGAGAGAGGGAAAAAGGGGCCAGGGTCTTAATATACTGTTCAAGGTTACACACTCAGTGACCTAATATCCTTTAGCTGGACTCTACCTCCTAAAGGTTTCACTCTTTCCCAATAACGCCATCATTTGGGGAGCAAGCCTTCAACCCCTGAGATTTTGGGAGACATTTAACTTTTCTTTTCTCTTGTGCCCTAGACCCAATTTGTAGACAAATCATGCTAGTTTTATGTTGCCCATTGTTAATGTATCTGAATGATCACAATAATTTTATCTTTTGAAACTTGCTTAGGTTTTTAGAAATACCAGCAAGTTACAACATTTCATTACTATGGTTTGTAATAAGAATTGATATACATTTAGTCAAGTATAAAAAACAAAAAATGGCTTTTGTGAGTGATTTATAAGTGACCCTGAAAACCAGTTCTAAAATAATGATTCAAAAGTGATTTATTCCAGAGCAGGATTAATGGGATGAATATTTAACTTACCGAATTATTGCTTCCAAGGATAATATTCATTTGGTTTTATAGATTCTGGATTATTGTTGAAAATTTATCTGTATTCTTTAAAATCACAATTTTGTGAAGATCTCATGAATAATATAAAAACTTGTTTATTGCAGTATAAAGTTGACTGACTCTGGAGCTGTCTGAGTTCAATACTAGCTCTACCAGTTTCTGGCTATGCTATTACACATGGGTTCCCTGTGCCTCAGTTCTTTCAACTATAAAATGGGGGACAATAATAGTGCCTACCCAGGATTTCTCGGTAGTATCAAATGAGATCATAAATTTAAATTCCTTAGGATCTGCACTGGCACAGGGTAAGAGAGCCATTGTGGTGAGAGTAAAAGAATTATGTGGCAGAAGGTTTGTCCCTAGAAGGCCTTGGGAACTTGAGGCATAAATAGAACATTTGAAGGGTTAAAGGCACTGCAGGATTACAGGAATTGTTCAAGCCAACTGTAAAAGAGACATCTGAAGGCAACATGTATTAATTATCTACAAAGTGAGATAACCAGCCAACAGATGCCTTAGATGTTCAGATAAGAAAGATCTTTTCTACCCATAGCAGTTAAAAATAATTTGACAGAATTTTTGTTTTTTAAATATCCAGTTTCAATTTCAATAAAATTGAAGTCTATACCCATAAAGGAACAATTTTGGCTTACTAAGATGCAGAAGTATGGGAGTTTAGTACAAATTACTAATGTAGAGTTTTGATTGTATATCATAAGGGAAGCCTTCTGAAGTATAGACCTCTCTGTGTATATCCACGAAGCCACCCTTTACATTATAGTTTCCACTCCCCACAAATCCATGGCACTGTTGATCAAGTTGTGTTCTATGTGTGTGTGGTTTAAATTTATTAAAGGAAATATCATTTATGTCTACATCCCTTTGAACATTTCTTCCTGGCATAATCCCACATTTATTAAAGATACAACTTCAATCAAAAATATTAATGACTTACATGTGCAAGCACCACATTGTTTCTCTAGTGTAAAGCCTGAGGAGTTAATTTAAACTAGGAGATATGATAGACATTGGGAACTGATAGGAAAGCACTCATAGGTAAAGGATAACTGGAATATGGGAAAAGAGAAGGGAAAGAAGGAGAAAGTTTGTATATATGTATATGCAGGATAGTTAACACAGGTGTTCTACTGTCCTGTATTTCCTTGCTGAAAGAAACTGTCAGTGAGGCATTGGTTGATTAGCTTTGTATGTCTATATGTGTTTTCATGAGAAACTACATTGAAGATATCAATATGTAATACAATAAGCATTGTTAATTCCCTACCACTCTGTTTGTAACTCTGTAATGTCTGTACTGATCCTTTGCTATTTTGTAAAACGTTGTCGATCTGTTAGTATTTTCCTCCTTTTATTTCTAAAACTAAAAAAAATATTAATGACTGATCTTTATGACTTGAGTATTTATACCTATCAAAAGTAGACATACTTTCTCCTAAACTATAACTTGATTGCCATTAACCTCAGGACTAAGAAGCTGTGTGTACAAGTGAATGACATAATTTCTGAGTCTGACCCCCAGAAAGGAATCAAAAACCTAAACCCTTTCTCCTTTCTCCCGTCAGTTGGCCCGCCACAACAAGCTGTTACAGCAGATGCTCAAACCAGGATCCGATCCAGATGAAGGAGATGAAGCCTTAAAGTATTATGCCAACCACACCGCACAGATTGAGGTAACAGTCCATTATTTCTTGAAAGGGACCAACTAGGACAAAATATACCTACTTTGTATTCGGGACCATTTTCATTATTTTTTTGCTTAAAGCAATAAGCCAGCATTGAGTGATTTAAAGTGGGAAGTACTGTGCATGCTGAAAGATGATCTATAAGAAAACGAGGTGCATATCTTTCACAGTTATCTTTCCTTTTTTTTTCCACACCAGACTATGTGTAAATTTAAAGATAAAACCAATAGAGTGCTTTCATTGCCATTGTTTTGGGTCTAGAAATGATTGTCGCAAAATAGTGATGTTTAAAGACTAGCAATTATTATAGAAGCCATTATTCAAGAAGAGTTTTTTTTAAAGAAAATTGTGGAAGGTTTATTCCTATTGCAATCTCCGTGTGTCTTAAGAAAGTACTCAAAAGGAAGGGGACTAGGAAATGAGGGAGGAGAGAAGAAACGAGGGGAGGGGAAAGGGCCAGAGAAAGAATTGAGATGTGTTATGTATGTGTACCAGTTCCCCACAATGAATGTAATCATTATGTACCACAAACATGTATTCATAAAAAAGGAAAAAAGAGAAGGAAGTTTAGAAAACATGGACGGCGCTAACGAAGTTTTCATGTTGATATCATAGACTTGGGATACTTTAACAGTTTCTATGTTCAACATGTAGCAATTGACTCCTTCACCCCATAAATGAGATTTTATGCAGTGACCTGGGACAGTGACAGTTCAGGACATGGGAGTCAAGGTGGACTTAGGTATTGGAAGACCCATCTGGCTGTCACTCACTAGCTGTGGTATCATTTTGACACTACTGGGCAGAACTAATCAGGCAGAACTGAGCAGAGTACTTGATGCTTGTCAGTCTTAATTTACATGCATTCATTGCGGCAGATATCTTTTAGTTTTCAGAAGGATAGACAATGGACATCAGTACTCTAAGGTTATGTAGTCACTATGCCTTACTGTGTACTCTGCCAAACCTTTGGAATAGGGTGCATTAGCTCCTTGGGCCACAAAATGGAACCCTTACTTATGAGAACTAACAGTACCACAGCTTTGGTATCAAACTTGGCTTAGTGGAACCCAGGACCCAGACCAGCAGCCAGTGCTGTTCAGTGCATCAGTTGCGTAGGAACTGGGAAGCTCACAAAGTCAGGAGGCCCGAGAAATTAATCCAAATAGGTCACAAGCCATGGGGGTTCTAAGGAAGGTCCCAAGACCCAAAATGCAACGCTAGCAGGTCAGAAGAGAGCAGGGAGTAAATAGCAGGGAGAGTGGGCAGAAAAGAGTTAATACCCAAGAGATGGAGGCTGCTGTTTGTGATTTTATTAATTATTATCAATGAAGAGTGATGTAGCTATAAACACTCATGCAGTTTATGTTTACTGAACACTGGCTGTCAAACAATTCACACTAGAGAGGATAATTCTGCACAGTAATTGTGTGTTTTTAAAAGGACAGAGAAATGTAGAGAAAACAGTGGTTGATTGTCCTTGATGAATTTCAGGATACATTTTCTTTTTTTTTTTTTTTTTTGTGGGGGCGGTGGTTTCTGGTACCAGGAATCGAATTCATGACCTCGCGCTTGCCAGGCAGGTGCTGTGCCGCTGAGCTAAATCCCCAGCCCCTGGGATACATTTTCATAGACATGACAGCCCTTAAGAACATATTAAAGATTGAATACAAGTTTCTCTGTACTATTAAAGAGACAAAGGACTTCAGATAGAAGAAGCAATTGAAAAGAAAGTGAATCAGCATAGGAAGGGAGCAAACAGAAAGATGGTACAAGCAAAAAAGAACTTATGTTTTTGTGTATTGAGTTTTTGCTGTTATTCTTTTATTGATCTCAGAAGACTCTCTGCCTTTATCAGGGTCACAATCTTGTCTGGAAGCCTTTTCCCTTGACTTCTACCATGCCTTGTTTTCTAGAAGTACATGTCAACCACTCCACTAGTCAAAACAACTCAACTTGCTGGCTAGATGGGAAAACACATGCATATATAGATATGTATACCATATACATATAGATATATAGGGGGCAGGGCTTGATGCTGGATTGTACATTGTATTAGTCAACTTTGATGTTATTGCAACAAAATACCTGTGATAATTAACTTATAAAGACAAAAGGTCCCATGGGAATATCAGCAGGTATATTTCTATGTCCCTCATCTCCAGTTTGAGACAGGGAAAGGCCTCCATTATGTTTGTATTTCCAAAACTGAACAGTATGTCTGAAAATATAACTATAGAATTGTTATTATCAAAAATAATAGCTTGTCTGTAAAATAGAGACTTCATAAGCATGGGGAATAGAAAGAGCCTTATGTCAAATCAGCCATCCAAGAAGGAGTTTCCCTGTAACGATCCTGCTTCTGTTTTAAACTCCTCTGATAGACGTCTCACTTCTTCAGAAGGACGTTGATTGAATTTGGACCAATTCCAGTCATTAGAAAGGCAACTTTAAACAACGAGTTCACACCAGACCATTTTATTGTTTATCTACTGCTCAGAACATCTTCTCACCTCCCAATAAGACGGCTTTAACATTTAAAAAACCATCGTGGTCGCAAAATTTCAAGCTTTTATAGATTAGGGCTCACATCGTTTTTTTCACTTTGAATTCTCCAAAGTGCCCCACCTAAAGATTGAATCAGCATTTGTGCACAATGTGTGGAAAATTAACCATATTTGGCTTTTTGCAGTTGACATATTCCCATTTCTTTCCCAAAACCCTCAGTTTGTCGGTGCCCTTTGTAAAATGAGGCAGCCAGAATTGAACATGACATTTCATGAAGGGGCTGCATAGCTTGATTTATAATAATCAAGAATCTGTGTCTTTCATGTGCCCTGAGTAGTTTATTAATATCTGACACTGTTGGCTCAAGTAGACTTTTTAAAAGATTTTCATCTGGTTGCCTGTCATGGCCAGTATGTCCCAATTATTTTATGTAATTCATTTTTAAACTTGTATGTAGGAATTTTTCTTTACCACTAGGAGATTTCATCTTGTTTAGGTCAATATTTTTGTTTATAGTTTGGATGTATAACAAAGCATTTAGGATGCTGTCAGTTACAAGTTTAACAGAATACCAGATTGACAGTTACTCAAAGAATAAACATTTTATTTTCTTACAGGTAGTCTGGATTTAACAGTAGTTCTATAATTGATTCAGTCACCTCAGGGTTGCAAAATGGCTGCCAGAGGTTCAGGCATCACACCTTTATATTACCATTTATTCTGAGCAAACAGAAAGATGGTACAAGCAAAAAAAGAACTTTTGTTTTTGTGTATTGAGTTTTTGCTATTATTCTTTTATTGATCTCACAAGGCTCTCTGCCTTTATCAGAGTCACAATCTTGTCTGGAAGCATTTTCCCTTGACTTCTACCATGCCTTGTTTTCTAGAACTATGTCACATGTCAACCACTACACCAGTCAATGGTGAAAGGAAATCAGATCACTCCTCTGGGTTAGACTAGTCTTTAGTGATTGCTAGGGACCTGAAATGAACCCTGAAATTTAGGCTACAGACCTTGTTATGTAGGAAGCTATACGAAAATACCCAGCCTATTTTATCTAAAGTTAAATGGTCACAAATATCAAATGAATGAAGCTGAAAATAACACGATGTATGAGTGTATGCTTAAGTGAATGTTATACCTACAAAAATGTTTTGCTAAGAATAAAACATTTTAATGATATAGAACACCCTTCTCTGTGGACTAGAGGTACATAATGCTTAGTGTATCATTTATTACCCAGCAGCCCTTGCAGGAAGAACAGAGTAAGAATGAGATACCAACGTGGGTGTTGGATTTAAGGCTATTCTGTCAGTTACTTGCTAAATAAGACCATTACAGGCCTCTGATAGGGGCTGAGGATTTAGCTCAGTGGTATACGTGTCTGCCTGGCAAGTGCAAGGTCCTGAGTTCAATTCCCAGCACTACAGAAAAAAAAAGAAACAGAAAGGTCTCTGTTATACCTCATGAAAATGAAAATAGGTGGCAAGAGTTTAATGCTAATCCAGAGAGAATGAATGATTTAAAGTTTTCTTCTTTATAAGCAGCTATGGTGTTTATGATATGCTCATCTATTAATATCTTTTACACAAAGTAGGACAGTAAAGGATTATTTTAGGTATTTCAACCTGGCATGTTTTGGTTAATAGGATTCATAATATATTATCAGTTAGAACATGCTAAAAACAAAAAACGTAGCCTAAGACCGAGGTGTACAAAAGGTTAAAACTGAATGCAAATTAATGTTTTCAGATTGTTCGGCATGACAGGACTATGGAACAAATAGTTTTTCCTGTTCCCAACATATGTGAGTTCCTCACGAGAGAATCCAAGTGCCGTGTGTTTAACACGACAGAAAGGGATGAACAAGGAAGTAAGGTGAATGACTTCTTCCAGCAGACAGAAGACCTCTACAACGAAATGAAGTGGCAGAGGAAAATCAGGAGTAAGTACAATAAACCGAAATGGTGGGGTTTGTGCATTGGGATAGATAAATTGGTACTTTGGGACCCCTGATGCCAATTCACTTGAATTGATTTTTAATTTCTTGCCTGTTTGATGTTACTGAAATCACTTGTAGGCTTAAGAGTGTAAGCTCAGTCTACAGTGGAGTTGAGACACCTGCAGCTTAATGAAAACAGAAAACGCCGAGTAATTACACCACCTGTTAGCGAGGAACCTATTTTTAACCCATTTCTGTCCAGGACTGAAATATTTTGAATTTTTGCATGATAGTTGTATGTGTTACCTAGGAAAGTTCAAGGAACAAGAATGTGAAAACATTTCATTGTCTCCCCCACCCCTTTTTTTTAGACAGGGTCTCACTATGTAGTTCAGGCTGGCCTTGAACTCACTGAGTAGCCCAGGCTAGACTTGAACCTGTAGAAATCCCCCTGCCTCAGCCTCCTGGGATTACTGGGATTACAGGCATGTGCCACCATTCCCAGCCATTATGTGCCATTGTTATGAGTGTACCATAAATGGATCACTAGGCATTCAAGTGTTACATACATATCACAAATCACAGGTTGTAGCTGTGTGCTTGGAGTGTTGGACAGCTGCAGGTCTGAACTCTCTGAAGGCCCAATGGGCCTTGCAATGGGTAATAGGGTGGGGAGACACGGGCACCAGCGACCTGCTCCCCTGTTGCCCTGTGATTGAGCTGATGGTTCCATGGTCTTCTGAATGCCACTCTAACGTATCTTTACCTCTCCCAACAAGCTAAACATTGTGGGGCACTGGTATTCAAAGGACCAGTGTGATAACTTTACAGTTAAAAGTCATCATAATACAGTTTTCACTACTTATAATTTAGCTTTCTAATCCATTTGAAAACATTGAGTTTTAAATTTTAAAATCATGAAATTTGAAGTAAAATTTATTTTTCCTGACAAGAGATATCATGAGTTCTTTCTGCATGGCTTTTGGACAAGTTTCCGAGACATGCAGGCATACATTCACAATGCTTCCATTCAAAAATGGTCCATCCTTCCAGTGTTCTAGGAACTTTAACGACTATCATTTAGAAATTTGAGTGCAGCTTGAGAAACACCATCTTTGGATATAAGATTGCAGCATGCATTTTCGGCTTTCTTAGCAGAATGTTTGAAAAAATTCAAGAGAGAAATTACTGTCCCTTAGCATTTTATCATATAGAACCTATGAAATTTAGTGAAAATTTGGGCTGTCCAAATAAATATAAAGGCTCATAATTTTATTTAGGAAGTCTGAAAAACATACATTTGTGTTGACACCCTCCCCCCAAAAGCAAATTGAATAATGAAGTAGTGCTCTGCAATCTGTGCTTTTTTTTGGAAAATATTTTGTTATTTATCAAGAAATAAATCTTAAAGTTATTTCCACTGTACATTTACTTGAATATTTGAAAACAGCTTATTATGAGGTTATAGGCAACTCTAATTCATTTGGTGGATGTACAGTGAGGACTTGTTATTATAAATATAGGTATCAGCATCTTCTAATTTTCTCTTATTAGTCTGCTTTCTAAAAATGAGAGAAATAATGGAGATGTAGATATTTATCATTTATTATTCATTAGCCAAATGCCATGGCTAATTGTAACCTCTTCCAATGAGAAATATTCCACTCCAAGAGAAATATACTAAAGAGTGCAGTTTGTAAATAGACAGAAGACTCTAAATTGAGATTCAGAGGGCGTATCTGTTATGGCTTAGATCTAAAATATCCCTGAAATCTCTTCTGTTCGGAGATGGGGCCTGGCTGGAGGCAGGTCATTTGGGGAGTGATCTAGAAGGATGTATTCTTCTCCCTAGCTCCTCCCTTCTCTCTCTGCTTCCTGGCTGCCCTGGGCAAATGAGCTTTTCTCCGTTATGCCCTTACACATGCATTTCTGCCTTGGAGCCAGCCAACCATGGACTAAACCCACTGGAACCTGTGAGCCAAATAAAACTCTCCTCCTTTAATTGTGGATGTCAGATATTTTTTTTCCCAGTGACTAATACAATATCCAAAAAATTTATCACTTTATTTGGAATCAGTATGCTGCCCCCTCCCCTTTAATGGCAACATTTTAATACTGATGTTAAAATATGAAGAGTTAGAGAATAAAGGAAACCTAAAGAAGTCATGTGTGTGCCAAGGGCAGGCTGATAACCTTGGCTCCTATTAGAACCGATATGCACTACACATCTGTTTACTTATTTAGGAGAGGTGGAAGGAACTGATTTTTAGTTTATATAAATTATGGTAAGTATATGCATTTACTAATTTATTTCTGATAACAGACATGGAGTCCCTCTTCTGTAAATATCAGAAATGCCTCTCCCACTTACTGATAATTCTTATTGGAAGTTTCATTTTCTTCTGCTGCTTAAACCCAACACATTATTAAGAAGCGTTGCATTTTAGAATGTAGATACTATTATAAATCACTAATTCTCTGTAAATATAATTATGCCCCAATGTTAAGTTTCAGAGTTTAAGGTAACGATGACTGTGTTGTAAAATTTTTCATTAGAGATAGTTCTGTGCTAGAGGCTTTAATTTTTTAATTTGACTTTTGAGTCACGACAGTGAGAACAGTTCTCAGTGTTGCCAGATTGTAGAGGAATGTGTACCATTCCATTAAAAAGGGCAGTAGTTGCCTGCTAAACTGCTCTTCCTCTAATCTGCTCCAGGGATCGACCAGAGAGGTTTATTACAGAACTACCTTTTCTGACTGCTCTCAAAGTTGCCAAACTACTCACCTTCTACAGCAATTTAAGTATAAACTACCTAAAGGATGAAACAAGGAATCAGACATAACCTGCTATGGTCCTGATAATTTTTAATAAACTTTCTAAAATAAATCATAGCCAGTGCTTTTACCACAGTGGTTTACAAACTGCATTTAGTGTTATGTTATTTCAGTAAGGCTCATGCATTGGACTAATTTTATATTCTGTTCTGTTCCTTTGCTCTTTTTGCTTCCTAGACAACCCTGCTCTGTTCTGGTTCTCGAGGCATATCTCCCTCTGGGGCAGCATCTCCTTCAACCTAGCTGTGTTCATCAATCTGGCCGTGGCTCTCTTCTACCCATTTGGGGATGATGGAGATGAAGGCAAGTACTGTCTCTCTTCAAATGAGAAGTGTCTTAACATTCTAAAAATTGTAAAGGAATCTAAATGAATTCCCTAACTGTGCAGAACTGTGAAATCAATACAGTTTAATTCTTGCTAAATAGATTTTTCTATATTTATTGAAAATGAACTATGATAGTAGTAATGTAGACAAAAAACTTTGGAAAATAGAAGTGGACTTTTATAAAAAGTTCATATGCAGGATAGCCCTTAGAAGTATAATATATATTAGCAAATAAAGTAATGAAAAGTTGTTATATCTGCCTAATTACTGTAACCCAAAATATTTTCTATTGTTTTATCTTAATATGTACAGCATAAGACAGAATATAATAATATAGAATAAAGATATTAACCCTGAACTTATTACGATTAAGCTAATAATACATGAGGGTTTACAAAAGCAAAAACAAGAGAAATTACAACATTGTAATTAAAATGGAAAATACAGTAGAAATATGCTGGAGGGTAGGACTTTGAGAAATAAGTTTGGATAAAGTTCGGCAAAGTACATGGAAAAATATGTTACAGGTCTGGGATCCCACCAGGTAAGTTATTTTGTAATGGATATGGAATAAATGGGAGAAAACAGGACAGAAATCAGAATAACCATAAGATGCATTTCATTTTATTAAGTCATGTTAGTGTTATATGATGGTGGGTTTATGTGGGAAATAAGATATATGTGCATTTATCATATCTTAATTTTAATCCCCCTCCCTCTTCTCTCCCCACTCCCCAGTGGTCCACATTCCTGTTTCCAGAACTCTACCTTCTGGTTTCCTGTCCTCTCTTTCATTTTAATTACTTATTTATTAATTTCATATATGTTTTAGGTTCCTCATATAAGAGAAAACATGTAGTATTTAACTTTGTGACCCTGACTAATTTCATCCAACCTGATAGTTTCTGGTTCCATCTGTTTTCATGCAGATGACATGATTGTATTCTCTGTATGGCTGAGTAATAGTCCACTGTGTATATATACCATATTTTCTTTATCCATTCATCTGATGATGGGCATCTAGGCTGTTTCCACAGCTTAGCTATTGTAACTTGTGCTATTGTAACATGAGTGTGTGTTTGATTTCAAGCTATACTGTAAAGCCATAGTAACAAAAATAGCATGGTTCTGGCACCAAAACAGAAATGTAGACCAGTAGGATATAATAGAAGACATAGAAACAAACCCAAGCACCAACAGCCATCTTCTTTTTGACAAAGGGGCCAAAAACATATGCTGGACAGAAAAAGAAGTCTGTTTAACAAATGATAGTAAGAAAAATGGAGAACCACATACAGAAAATTGAAACCAGATCCTTATCTCTTTCCTTGTATTAAAATCAAATCAAAATGAATCAAGACTTAGATATAAAACCAGAAATATTAAAGCTGCTGGAAAACAACATAAGGGAAACACTTCAAGCTGTCAGCACAAAGACCTCAACAGGGCTCTAAAACTGCAGGAAATGGTATCAAGAATCAACAAATGAGACTATATCAAATTAAAAAGCTTCTGTACAACAAAGTAAACAAGAGTCAAAGTGAAGACAGTCCACTAAATGGGAGAAAATCTTTGCTAGTTACCCTTCTGATAAAGGATTAATATCTAGAATATATAAAGAACATTTAAAAAGCAAACATAAATCCAATAAGGAATTTGGGCAAACAAACTGAATAGATACTTCTCAAAAGAACTGCATATGGTCAAAAAGTATATGAAAAAAATATTTGACTCTGGATAAATGCAAATTAAGAGTACATTTAGATTCCATCTCACCCCAGTCAGAATATCGTTCATCATGAATACAAAAAACAACAAAAGCTGGCGAGACTGCAGGGATAAAGGAAAGCCCTCCTACTTTGTTAGTGGGAATGTAAATTAGGACAGCCACTATGAAAATCAAGATGGAGATTCTTCAAAAGACCAAACATAGAGTGCTTTTGCATCTTATCTGTTAATAGGATTGTTGTGAAGATTTAATGAGATTCTAGAGATGAAGCATTTAGATAGGATAATGCCGTAGCCACTGGATACAGTTTAGTGGTTATTGTTACAAGGTAAATATTCATATTACCAGGGGAAGCCTCTGGTATAAGGAGAGCAACAGGTATTGAAGCCTGTTTCAACTGAACTGGAGGTGTGTAGGAAAAGACATGGAGGTCTGAGAGTAGTCTACTCTGTTCCAAGTGCATGGTGGGTAATGTAGATATCAAAGTCTTCACCTTGCACTGTAGTGAAGTGATCATGAATACAGTTTGCTGTTCTGGGGAAGGCTTGCCAATGATAGAAGATTATTTGGCAATGGAATGGATGAGTGAATGAAAGAGCAGTAAAAAACATAGCAAACATTGGTTTCTCCATTGTGCTCAAGGAAATGGAAGCAACTTCCTCTTTCCTGTGTTTAGTCTTCCTTTAGTGATGAACTCCTGGCCCAGGGAATGTAACTCTTGTGAGGAGAAAAGTCCAGCGTGAAATGATAAGGGACTATCATCTGCTTGAAGAATGTGGAGGATAGATTACAGAGTCCTAGTTAATAGAAACATAAAGTCTTCAGAGATGGAGGCCATTTTGGAAATCATTGAATATCAAACCTTCGTTTGACAGATGAAGAGATGGCAGTCTAGCGATGCCTAAAATGGCAGACCTCTGAGGAGAAGGCTAACCCTTTTGTGTCAAACCTAAGACATTCCTCCATTGATAACTGAGTGGAAGCTTAGATAGCAGGTACCCCTTTACAGAGGACCTAATTTTCCCCGGATTCCTTTCCATGGTATCCCTTACCTGACCACAGAGTCATGTATAACTTCTGCTGCCACCAATTACACACAAAATACAGTGGTGACAGGAAATGCCATCCCTCTGGACAGTGGCTCTTTACTTACTATTTTTATTACTAGCCTGACTAATAATAATTATAACAGCATCTGTTTTCATGCAGATAACATGATTGTATTGATAATAATTGATAACAGCAGCAGCTGGTGCTGCTTATCGGTTAGGTTGGCCCAGGCAAAATGATGAACCCTTCACATACATAATTTTACTTCACTGCCTGACCACCTGTAAAGTGAGGCCTTCCTTCTAGTACCATTCCACCATCTGATAAAGAAGTTGAGGTTTAAATTTTGCCCAATAACTCATTAAGTACTCATTTTAATGAGCTCACTGGATGTTGCTGATGTAAGGTTTCAAGAACACATGGCTAGGAGCGTTTGGAGTAGTTCTCCTGCTTCCAAATGATACAGGACCAAAAACACAAGACTAGAAAACATGATGCTCTGCCATCAATGCAGATGAGGCTTTACTCTTATAGGAGACCTCTTGAATAGGAGTTATCAGTAGTGACCAAGGCAGGGGTTTAATCTTAGGGCATCTGAGTGTAGGTGTCCTGCATGGGAAGAAGGGTAGGCATGAGCTGCTACATTGGCAGTATGGAACTCCAAGATGTGTCTGGATTGTGCATATAGTTTTGCATGAATTATTTGATTGTAACTCCATGAATAAAGCTAAAATTTTCTTCAGTGTGAACCCAGCATCCAAACCTCAGCTTCACACTAGGAAAGCTGAAGGAACAAGGTCAAGACCGGCAAATACATTTGGCCATCAGAACTGTCTGGAGAAGGAAAATTCTGTGCTAGTGATGGAAAAGCCTTTAATATGGGAATTGTTTTTTCAAAGAAGCTGAAAGAGTACTCTCTAGGAGCACTTTGAAGTCATTTAAGGATGGGCTACAAGACTAAAATTCCTCTAAAAAATGATAGGAACATGTAAGAACACAGGATCCAACTTGAAAGGCTTCCCAATAGCCAAATCTGAGAAAGTTTTGAGAACAAAAAATATTGACAGGAATGCGTTATGACTCAGAATAAAATAAGAGTTCAGAAATCCACACTGACAGTGAGAAGAGCAAGCTCTTCTGTATAATAGTATTCTAATTAATAAAATGTAGAAAGAGTGATAGAAATAGTATGTCACTGTTAAAACAAATATCATAGTAGTAAGAATTATGGATGGAGGCTAAAATTAAGGTATGACTATGTTGTGAAAAAATATGGTGAAAAATAGGAGGTCGACACAGTCTTAAAGTATGTCTTCCACAACACCCTTCCTAATTACAAAAGTAACTTCAAAGTGAAGTCACTTCAAGTAATCAACCTTACTGTTGGCAGTAATGAGACAAAGCGGTGTCATGTGTCCCTGACATGGTGTGCTGAGGAAGACATAACATAATTTGCCTTTGTTGTACACAGTGAATTGCTTTGTATGGTCTCATCTGAGATAATTGGTGTAAGGATCTTGACTTTTTTGTATTTGGAAACCCATAAAAATGGAAACATGAAAAAAAACATACTTTGCCAAAAACGATGAATAAACAGGAAATTTCAGACAAACCCCATCTAGGGAACATTCTATGTAACAGTTACTTCTCCAAGGTATCAAGCTCATGAATGGCAGATTGAAGAACTGCCCAAATTGAGAGACTAAAGAGACATGATCACGAAATGAAGTGTGTGGTGCTAGCCCAGGAGGTAGACGTTAACTGGACGGTTGATGGTTGGTGAACTTTGGTCAGATTAGATAAACATGGCCTACGGATGCGAATTTCCTGATATTGATCACTGTAATGTGATTATGTAAGATGTTGGTATTTAAGAAATCTAGGTGAAGGGTATATGGAATTTTTGTTATTTTTGCAACTAGTACATAAGTCTTGAAGATTTCTGAAAATATGTTTAAAAAGAAAAAATAAATATAAGGATTCTGTTGAACAATGAGGTACACAATTCTGAGTATAGGAGTTGGTGATTGTCTTAGTGACTATTCTCTCATTGCTGAGACAAAATACCTGACAGCCTAAATTAAGGAAGGAAAGGTTTATTTAGTTCACAGTTTGTGGAGGTTTCAGTCTGTGATCAGCTGGCTCCAAGGCAGGGTGGCAAAAGCATAAAAGGGGGGAAACAAGCCTCTTTCCTTCCC